CATGTCACAAACACCCCAGTGAGCATCCTGTTCTGGAAATACACCCTAATCATTCTCCACTCATAGCGCTTTGCTCTTGCTGTTCCTTCTGCACAACTCTGCCACATGTCTTCACCTGGCTGGTTTCTTATTATTTATGTCTCCATTCACACATCACCTCCTCAAACCAGACTCCCTGTCCTCTCTAACTAGAGCCGTTCTGTTCTCCCCCCGTCATCAGTTTAATTTCATTCCTAACCTTTCTCCTAAGCGCAAACAGTCTTGATTGTTTCTATGTTCCTTTTCTGTCTTGTTGCTAGAATGTCGAAACTTTTATGTATTACATATAAAACTCAGACGTCTTCTTTCCTCCTCTATCGATAGTGTGGGAGTTCACTAAATTTAATAGAAAGAAGAGATTCCAATTCCTGTAGTTTGTAGATGATGTAGTAAAAATTGCCACAGAACAGAGTGACTTCAGGTGGCCACATGGGTTTTCAGCTAGTTACTTGAAGGAATTATTTTATGGTCATTTTATTCCCTCATTCCTTAAATCATTCAGCTAATAATTCCCTTATTTATTTCTTTATTGGGCTCTATAACCTAACTTAGCATAAAGTATTTATCCAAATATTTTCCATATATTTGACAATATGTAATGTAGAGAACACAAATTAAAATGATCTCAAAGAATATACAATTTACTGTCTCACTTGATGCCTGATAATGGAAGAATGGAAGATTTCTTTTTCCTGGAAAAGACTATCTAATGTACTACTTTAAAAATATTAAATTACATATTCATAGATATTTAGAGAAACAACCCTTAGGAAAATGTAAATTAAATTCAAGCCACAGACATGGATAACTGAAATGAATTTGGTATACAAATTGAATGAAACTGAAGATGTGCTTTCACGGGCAAGTAAAATTGAAGGTAAGTATAGACATGGAAAGAACAAAATAAAGGACATCACAGAACTCAGAGAGTCTATGCTGACTTTCATTATATTATTTTCAATCTACCACTACAAGTAACTAAATGGAATCATCTAGAACTCCGCAGTGTGGAAATGGTATAGGAGAAAAGAATGGGGGACTATGGACAAATAAAGTTTTCTGGAAGGACATGACCTCGTCTCAGAAAAAAGAAATGAATACATATGGTATTTCCTGAGCACCTCTTATGTTTCAGGTATTACGTCAACTGCTTTATCTGCATTATATGC